AAAACCCATTTCTTTGGCATCAGGGTCTTCTTTACCATAAATATTGGGAGACCATTGTACAAAAAACGCATATAAATGATCAGCTCTGGAAAACAAAAAGTGAAAGTTACATATATAGCCTAGAATCTAGTGTTCTGAGGTCTGTGCCTACGTTATACGACTGCCTAGAGATTACAGTGCTCTGAGGTCTGTGCCTATGTTATGCGAATGCCTAGAATCCAGTGTTCTGAGCCTATGCTACACGAATGCCTAGAATCTACAGTGCTCTTGGGTCTGTGCCTATGTAACGTCTAGAATCTAGTGTTCTGAGGTCAATACAAACTCATGTTCACCAAATGAACTTATGAAATGTAAATATCAAAATTTAAGTAGGTATGATTGGTTGTTACTGCCATGACTGCCAGCATGCAGTGATGTATGACACAATTTGCATGCCCAAAAATGTACGAACTCTCAAAAAGATATTTCACAAAACTGAACAAAGCAAATAATTTTACAGTTTTCCATACATAACATACTGTTTAAGAACCAAAATAGGTCAAATTTGACTTCCAGTCTATATTTCAGATTCTAAAGACTTCAGTAGTATGCTCCAAAACACAGACAATCCAATGATGGCAGTTCTCATACAATATTAAGTTTTGAGAACACTGAAGTCCAATTAAAAACTTTTGTTAAACCAATCCTTAGTTAAACAAATGACCATCTTACCGATCTTTTGGTACAGCAAACCAGTACTCCGGTTTCTTTGTTTTAATGCTATAAGACTCAATAGCACTTGATTCAGTAAAAGTTTTCTTCATTGGCTGACCTACTTTTAAACACAGGTACAATGGTGGCTCATTCATACGTTTTGGCCGTAAGAGTAATTCTGAAATGTCAACAATTGGTAGATGAAATAACACATCTCTTGCTGAACAAAACTTAAAACGACACAGAAGCTTGAGAATACTACATCTCAAGTCCAAGTATACATATACATATAGACTCAAGTCTGCTACTCGTTATGAATGACTGGACTTATTAATCAGGCAACTTAATACCAATTAGAGATACTGTACTGGGAATGATATGTCTCCTAAGCAGGCACCAAATCTCCCACAAGGAAAGCATTAGCTGGTGCACTACCATAAATAATTACAAGATTTCATTTTCCATCTTTCTCTTGCGTTTTTCTTACTTAATATGTCCTTGGCAGTATGTATGTTATACATCAGCATAAAATGTCCCCCAAGAAGCCACGGCAGTGTGAAGGCATGGAGCAAAACTCTATCCCATGATTCAATGCATTGCATTAAACAAGACTAGGCATTTGTGACACTAGAGGGCGCTATTGCACCAAAAATAGCAATGGCACTCAAACCCAGTGATATCCAGCATAACAATACAAGGTATTCTTAGCTTATATGCACACTTGATTACATGGATACAAATACAAATGTATACAGTCTCTGCAGGGCTCGAACTTAAGAGTGCTCAAGACAAAATTTGATAAAATTGCCCTTGTGTATAAGAACAGTATAAGAAAACTCTGAGCACCAAGGCAAACTCTTTGAGCATTGAGGTATATACTGTTGATGTCTTTAAGAAGTTCAAGCCCTGATTAAATTGAAAAAATGAGAAAACAGAAAAGATACAAATGTATGACAGGAGCACCAAGATTTAACGATGTAAAAGATGTACATGTATCTGAAATGACACCAGTAAAGGAAATGTGGAACGATGGGTAATCACACAAGTCACATGACAATGAAAAATGTACACAAAGTGCATAAACAAACATAGTGAAACTAGAGAAGACTTGCTTTTCAAAAACAAACTACACTAAAATGAACTTTTGAGGAACAAATAGTACACTAATTTCTCTACCATAAGTGTAAATGTAAATCATTAAATTGTCATTGCTTGAAATGTTCACTATCTTTTAATCTGAAAAATGTTGTGAAAGTTACTGTGATTCCTGTCTTAAAAGTAGTATTGGGGCAGAAAGTTAGCAAACTAGCTCACTAATTCCCAACAACTTTGGTTTTGACAAAGTGATTTGACCATCATGAACAATTTTGCAAATTTTTCAGTCTTGTAAAATCTCACAAAGTAATTTAAATTAATAAAATAAAATAATTTCTTTCAAAAAATTTCTAGTGACAGAATGAAGAGTAATATTGAAATTGTAGGACATTGGTTGGTGAATTAGTGAGCAAGTTAGCTAACTTGCTGTCCCATTACTTCTGAGACTTGCTGTAAAGTCCCCGGCGAATTCTTTACTGCTGCAATATTTTGAGTTTTTTCCTGAATGGCAAAATTTATTAAAATTTGCCTTTCCTTAATAGAAGTGGTAGCATTTATGCAATGGGCATTAACAAAGTAAACACATGAATATGTCCAAACCCAATTATCTATCTACATAGAGTACCTTATCTTTCCATGATTAAACATCGTCACTGACAACAGTATACTGACTATTGACTTTTTGATGGAAAATACAAACAATAATTCAAGTATAAGATAACATAACAATTTTAAATGTTAGTACAGAATATGGAATGATATTGTAGACATCAAAGATGAACAGTCTAGTCAATCTATCTTCAAGCATAGTGGTCATCAAATTGAATTTTTTTTTTAATTCCCTCCAGGTGTTACGAAACAATTCCTTTAGTACATCAACAAACGTAATCCTCTCTGGATAGTATTATCAGTTTGTATTTTGTTCCATGCACAAAAATAGCTGAATAAATCAGAATTCTGATGAGGGAATAGTTCCTTCAGCATTTCTAAATTACACAAACATTTCATATCGAGTGGAACGCACATCTATTTTTTGAAATACTAGTATATCAGAAATTCTGTTTCACTTTCTCACAAACAGCTGGACTACATTTCCTATACTCTGAAAACATCCTAACCCATCCTACTGATGCGGAGACAACGAATGATGACAGCCATATTACATTTCACCCATTCTCTTAAGGGAAAATTTATTAATCAGTAATTATTAGAGTAGTGGATAAACATCTCAATTATTATTTTTATAATCTTTGATAATATCAGATACTATTGATTTTATTCTACAGGTGATATACACTCGCAAACACATTGCAAAATGCAGCAGTAAACAATTCACTGTAGTTTACAGGAAGTTACAGTCAATTTTATAACATTGCACCGACACAAACAGCCTTAAATGAAACTAGACAAATGATTCTGAGAAACAAAACCTATATACAATTGATGTGAAATTACATCAGCATTACAGATGGTAATCACAGAAATTTCCGGCAGCGAAAATTTGACAGTTAACCAAACACAACAAATACTTTGTTTCTACTATCCTCAGTTTGACAATCTGTACAAACTGAACATAACTATTTCTGTTTGTGAGAAAGTCTCCAGAAAATAGACTGGAACACAGACAATACCCGTTTTCAAAGCAGACTGCTGGTGAGACTGACTAGACTGACAACTAGATTTTTAATATAACATGTGCAATAACTCTCAACTGATAATGTTAGGTGGGTGACAAAGGAATCCATGATACAACACAATGCTGATATTTTGCAAAGAAATGCATTTATGTGCATATATTGATTTATTTGTCTATTATTTTAAGCAACAGTGTCATCCTAACTGCGCATATACCGGTATATAGCCTTTGTTCATGTGTACTGAAAGACAGAGGGCTGGATCCCTTTGTAAATTTATCAGTCGCACTGATTTAATTTGGCTTTAATATATTTTCATGTTTTATTCAACTCCGTTAGGGGGCAATGTTTTAACCTTTTAAAGTCCAAATATGAAAAGGTTTGACAAAAAACTAAATCACCTAGTACTTCAACAATCAGAAAATTGTTGTCAATATGGATGCAAAAAACCACAACAATTTTTCACCGCTGAGCCACTGCACATTACACTGAACAATTTGTCCAAAACATTTATTCAATTCTGATCATACGTTTCAAAGTTGTGATTTGACACAGACAGATAAAACCAAATCCATGAACCCAAGTCTCAAAGTGTGTCCGGTGACAAGGTTGTCACATCAGGAAGACAAATCTTCATATACCCCTCAGTTATAGTTAATAATTAATCATAATTTCGAACGCTTAATTTCAAGAGCAATGAATGTGATTTTCTACATGCACAGCAGTGTTTACTGTAGTTTCCAAATGATAGCATAACACAGATCAGTGATGAGTCATTCAGGTAATCAATGCCATTAAAGGCCCAATTCACTTGCCCGGGGCAAGTGTGAATTGAGGTGTGGCTATGCTAATGAGCGTTGTTAATCACTTGCATAGCCTATGACGCATGCTGTTTCGGCGGTCCAACATCATGTGACTTTGATTGACGGTAATTAATTATTCAAGATTAGTAGCGCGTCCCTTTCCCTGGTTCGTGTTTTTGACTTTTATTCGCCAAAATCTCAGCTCGTACACTATTTATTGTAATAAATACTATATATAATGACTGCTGTGATAATCATAGTCACATACATCCACATTTGCACGACACAATCGTTCTGTAAGTTCAAGAAAATGCGTTTTTACCGGAGCTTGGCTGGAGCTGTTTACTACAGCGTGACAAGCAAGGAAATAATCCCTATTGTTTAGGAGCGTATTTATAGTATACCTGGGCCTTTAAGAGTACCGTAGTTATGACAGTGAGCTACGTTTATCACAATACTGTGTTTGAATATGCATGTAAACATATGCAGCTCGAATGACAATTTTGCCTTAAACCAGGGTCAAAACATGGAGACAGAGCTCCTTCTAAAACAAGTTTCAATCTACTTGACTGCAAAATATCCAGCATTGTCTCCGTTGGAATTTTATCAATACATAATACATGTACTACTTTATTGCAAAAAACATTACCTCTGTATAAAGATTTAGCTGCAAGCAAAGAAGAATTGTAGAAAAAAACAGAAAATATTAGAGTTATATAAGAGTTATTCTTTATAAAGTGAATATACATAGACAATGAAAGTGCATTATGGGATGCTGACCTTGAACCTATGAAGTATATATGACAATGAAGCATGGAAATAATTAGTGTCTGATGAAGAGGGAGGGGCTACTATACAACTTTGAAATCCATACATGTCATTTTACAGAAATTTGCTCAAGCATAGAATTTATACCAGTCTCTCTACATCTTTAATTAGCTAAATTACAGATTAGCTGATTAAGTTAAAATAACATGCAAGCTAAAACGAGAAATTTTACAGTATTTTACTTGAGGAACAGGTCAAGAGAATGATAATTCAATTTTTTGTAAATTTCTATATAAACTTGAATAGCCCATTCCCCTTTACATGAATGACATCATACACATGTGTACCGGTATGTTGAGTGCAAAAACACATAAAAACATACATGTGTGACAAAGACATCGCAGTTTGACTGAGAATGGCAAAAAAAATGCACACTTTACATGAATAGCATTGACAAACTTGTACAAGCATTGAAGAGCAGACAAGTAACATGCTCAGGACTAGGCTAATGACATTTAACAAGTACTTGGAAGCACAAAAGCATTCTGTCACATTTCTAGTCATTATGTAACACTCTACAAGAGAAGTTGACACTCCCCTCAAGTAAAAAAAAATATTAGCCCTTTAACAAAAAATAGCAAAAAGACGTATCTACACGTAACTATCTAGTAATATTCAATTTATTTGATATGCTAAAACTCAAAAATGTATCATCTTTACCACTACCTAATTTGCTATCTTTGTTTTATTTTCGACTCTGAATACTTCCTATAGAATCTACACATGTGTAATTACAACACTACGAAATCTGACAAAAGCCAAATGAGCAAAAGCACAATGATACACAGCACAGTTAAGCGAGACAAGTAAATATGAACCAACAAGCGGCAGTGATACTGTAGCAAAGTAGTTTTGAGTGGATAAAAAACAAGAAGACGCAAGTATTTAATAATCAGTCAGCGTATACTGTAAAAGGGATAATTATTCACTGGGTTTTAATTTTGCTTATTTCGCTGACTTGAAAATGCGCTAAATTAAAATCCAGTGAATATGTAAAATTTAGCATAGAACACATTATATCTAAATGACAAAACCGTGAATTTAAAACCCACTGAATATGCCTGAAATGCTAAATCAGCGAAATTAAAACCCACTGAATATGTAAAATTTAGCATAGAACACATTATCTAAATGATAAAACCGTGAATTTAAAACCCACTGAATATGCCTGAAATGCTAAATCAGCGAAATTAAAACCCAGTGAAAATTTGTCATTTTAGAGTACACCATATTTGCCCTATTAGAAGCACATCCAATAGAAACACATGTAAATCAACAGTTGCATGTACAGTATGCTGGATTATTAAAATATTACTCAAATTGACCATAAAAACATACTGCTATTTACATAAGTGTATGCGCTACTAATACAGCAAGTATGGTATTCCATGTAATACTGTTTGGTTTGTAATTCATGGTACATGTATAGGTTGAACACAACATCTGAACAGTCATAGATTTTGTACACAGGTACTATCAGCTTCTTCTGAAATTTGCCAAGTTACAAGCTTGCAATATAATCCACATGACTGAATAGAAATGACTGGCAATGCTTCATTGTGGTGGCATCTTTTACTTAACAAAGAGAAAAGATGGAGATACCTCCACCAGAGAGTGCAATATCATAACATTAATTCCATAGCACTGTGCCATTTAGTCTAGCATCATTGTTACAATAGTACCTCATGCATTACCCATCAAGGTTTCACACCTCCCAGTTGTAATTTCAATTTCTGTGTCCGTTTTTTTTTTTTTTTTTTTTTTTGGTGGTGATGGGTGATTGTTTTTTCTAGAAAAATTCAAGTTGTCAGTGAACTTCAACAAATATTAATATTGTAAATTTATGCTGTTACAGGAAATTGATCTCCCTAGAAAGTACCAGGATGTGTGACCTTTTGGGGTCATTAACAATGATGGTATTGAACACGAGAGCACACAATAATGGTGTATTAAATGAGTGTGTAAAATTAAAATGCCTTGATGAGGAGAAAGATAACTGTAGATGGAAGATTATCAGATTATTAATATGGCACACTGAAGTGTAATGAGACAATTAATCAGTATATCCAAACATACCGTGATAATTAGTATCCCATGATGCAAGGCGCTCCAATTGTTTTTTAGTTCTCTCCTTGCGATCTTGTTGAAGATCACTATCGCTTTTCTTGCGATTTCTAGGAGTGATTCTTACTCGTCGGGCGCTGGCTTTTATCCGTTCTATCTCCATTTGTGTGGCGCTGGTGTCTCGTATCACTTCCGTTATGTCAGGTACCATCGAGGATGGATCCTGTTCCTTAGCGAAGAGTCCTGAGGAAAAATCAACAAAACTCCTAGTACGTGGTCTGATAGCATCATCATCATCATCATCTCGGCTCGTATCACTACAAACACCAGATTGAATCTCAGTGATCGAGTCCTTTGAGACATCACTCAACAATGACAAATCACAGGTGGTACCCTCTATTTCAGCTTTTTGTTCACACACATCACCATCGGGGCTTAATTCGAGAGTTTTGAACTCACCAAAACGCCCATCTTCCACACCCTTCACATTGCTAGTGTTACTAGCCAAGGGATGCTGCGTAGCACTTTCACTGCCACTATCCACAGGAACAGGATCAGTTGAGGGTAGTTCCGACACACCCTCTTTGCCATCCACTACAGAGTCGGTTTCAGCTTGTTTTACATCATTACTACTACGGTGACTAACCATTTTGGCTTTGTCCTCAGGTTTTGAGTTATCAGCGTTGAATACAGTCGCATGCGTGTTAATTCTTCCACTTTCCACAACTATATCTGACATTTCGTCAGTCGTCATAGTTTCATTCATTTCGGCTATACCGCTTTCTACACTTCCTTTATTTACTGAGTCATCCACATATTCACCGATATCACACTGATCTTGGAGCTTCACGATCTGTTGTTTGTCAGCTACAGCTACCAACGCCTCCTCCTGGATTTCTATGTCCACACGTTTCACTCCTTTTGCTTCACAATTTTCCAATGTTTCAGACACACTGACACTCCCAGATTCCACGGATGCATCACCCATTACCAGGGAGGCTGATGCAGTAACCAATTTATCTGGTATTTTTGCTGTCCCTGGTAGTTTTGTATCTGTAGATTCCCTGGTCTCAACATTCCCATCTCCAGAGTCTATAGCAACGGTTCTACACAACTTTTCCACCTCATCACTGGCAGTATCTTTAGTTGTAATTTGGCTTTTACTTCCTGGTTGGATATGATCTGATTCATCTTTACATTTATTTTCACTGACGCAGTCACATAACTTCTCAGGAGCTTGAACACAAAAACATATATTAGTATTAGAGATGTTTAATAATAAACCAAACAAACTCAAACCTTAAACACAACATGCATTGTAATCATAACATACAGTCAAACCGATGTGTCTATAACAGACCTTTTCAATGAAGTTTTGGGTGTTCCCTATACACAGGTTTGACTATTTGAATGAAGTCATCTCAGAGATGCAGTTACAAAAACATTCAAGTACATTTTATTATGATTTAGAAATCTGTCGTCAGCAGTGGCCATAAAACAACCACATTCGATTGGACCACAAAGAAAGTTGGTGCATAGAAGTTAGTTAGTCTTTGTGATGGTATTTTAGTCGTTTCTGATATATTTTGTGTCATTAAATTTGTTATTTTCAGATATTGGGATTTTTATCGACACAGAAGAGATAACACAAATGTGCATACTTTTATTGACTTTTTTTTGAGTTGCCATTTGCATATTTGTGTTACTGCATACAGAACAGAAAACCAAATTAGATTCATGCGAGACAATTGTTTGTAGAAATGGGGAGCCGCAGTGACTTTCATAACATTTTGTTTATTTTGGTTCAAAATAGGCTGAATATTTTGATATTTCTTTTTTTAAATAATTTATCTGTGCAAAATATTTCTTAGATAACTCAAAGAATGAAGTCACTGGTTAAAATGATGAGCAAGAAATGTGTCTATTAAACACAGTGATATGAGTGTGTACAGGAGCTGGGATAATGAAGTCCCTTAAAAATGGAATGCTCTTCTGGGTCTCTGTGGGCGTGACAGTCACATGAAGTGATCACACTCCTCAAAAGAAATGTAGTCTTTTCTGTTATAGTTGGTGTGTAACAATTACCTTGGAAGAACACTTCATCTTTATCTTCTTCTGTGTTAGCATCACATTGTGTCTCACCATCCTCTGGTGAACTCTGCTGCATATTCATGGAGATCTTATCATCAATATTCTCCTTATTTTCAGAAGTATCTTCTTTCTTGTCTTCTTTTTTCTTTTTCTTCCTTGCTAGCGGACAATTGGCAGCATGGTAGATTTCCCTAACGAGTGTCAAGTTTAATTTAATTTGACAATTGAAAAATGAACACCTCAAGGCTTGAAACTTACAGATGTTATTTGATTGTCCACCAGCTTTTCAGAAAATGCAGTTATTTTCATTCATTTTTATTATATTTTTAAATATGCATTAAAATTGCATGTTTTTAAAATAATGGAACACTATATAAGGTGTTTACTTACAGCAACTACATGTGAAGAAAACATGGTGCACATGAACATAATTTAACATCTGTATACCACACACGATATTCCAAGTGAATACTTACGCTGTTGCGTCTTTTCTCAACATAGGGGATATATCATGGTACATTGCTGCGCTGATAACCATTTCCATTGGTGTGATAATACCGTACATGTCGGCACCATTCTCTATGACTAATGGGTCAGATACATTGGGATCAAACATAATGGCATTTGGTGTGACTAACAGCACTCCACTAACAACACCCTGCAAAGAAATTAATTTTATGTTGAACACTTCCTCAGCTCAGACAGTGGAGATTAGTCATGCTCAAGATTTAAGCAAATTTCATGTTTGCATATCGGCTAGAACCAACTGCGTTCACTCACGAGAGGAAGCAGCAGTCAGCACAGGTTAAGGAATGGCCAAACTTGTTAAGAATACACAATCTTCTGCCGAGAAATGTTTGATTTCAATGATTTTTCACCAAAAAATGGCTGCCATTTGGTCATCTTGAATCAGATCATCAAACAAATTGATGTATATATTGTATAATAATATGTATGATGTATGTGGAAAGTTTGAATGTAATCAGTCCAGGCATGTCTAAGATGTTGGTTCGAAAACACGGATACACGCATACATACACAGAGATCATAGATCATTCATAAGTATTAGTACTAATTAAGAAAGTGCAGATAAACATTAGACTCCCAATTAAGAAAGTGCAGATTGCAGAAAACACAGGAAGTAGTATAGTCAGATCATTTTTTTTCCCAGGGAACAATGTCCCCAGATGTACTAGAAGTTGATTGTCATGGGGAAATGGCATCCCAAAATGAACAAGCCATGCATGGCACAGTCCTCGTTAATCCATCTGTAAACAGCAGAGAAATGCTTGATTTTGATGATTTTTTAGCACAAAAATGGCCACCATTCGGTCATTTTTGATAGGATCATCAAACCAATATATGTATGACATGATGTATAATGAATATTCAAAATTTTAACATAATCAGTCACAGCAAGTCAAAGATATGGCACTAGAACCACATTTATT